CCCCCCCCCCCCCCCCCCCATTCAGTGCCTGCTTTAGATGGTCACATGTAGTACCCATCTCAGACCAGTCAAAGCAGGTACCACTTGTGCCTTCCATCCCAGGCTGACCAGAGCAAACACCACAGGTGCTGGATTTGGGGGGTATCCATGGACCCAATCCAGCCCCCTAGACTGACCCCACACCATTCATTCCATGGTGTTCCTCTGATTGTGGACTCATCCCATGGTGTTCATCTGCCTGTGGGACCAGATGAGTTTGACACTCCTGCTTTAAATGACTAGCTGGTTTAAACAGATCTCTATTTAAAGTTCCATTTTTTTTTCCTTTTTTACTATTCATTATTTCAAATAACATCTTTCTGTAAGGGTATTTACCATTCCAATTCTGTATGGCCAAAGTTCATGGGTGAAATGTGTTCTCATGTACATGCAGATTCACCCACAGTAATTTATGTTCATTAGCAGAGAAGCCAAGATTTTGAAGAGTGACTGCCTAAGCTTAAGAACCCACATTTTGATATCTAAATGAAAGTAGCCTGAATTTTTCACAGATGTTGGGCACTTTCAATTTATAGTGAACTTAGTTAGAGTTGGCAGTTGCTTTGACATTTTAACCAAAACTATTGATTTCAGGAACTCAAATAGGCAAATTATGTCTACTTGAATTGGGTATTATTAACTTTTGTATTTCCTAGTGGAGGAAATATTTGTTTTTATAACTGGCCACATTAAGAAATTTAATTTATAACAAAAGATTCAAAAGTTACTTATTTTCTAGTACTTCAAACTTCTTTAAACTAAACAGGTCTAGTATTTTTATTGTGCCCATTTTAGAAGCTTTTGGAAATATAATATATTAAGCAAATATATATATGAGTAGATTGGTTTTCTCTTCCTTCCCGTCCCCAAATAAACTCTTCTTGTGATGAATTTACAATAGATTAACAGCTACTCTTTCTCTTTTTTAGGGACCTCTGTCGCCAGGATAAAATGTGTGACTACTATTTCAGCATAGATGCAGATGTTGTACTAGTGAACCCGAAGACTTTAAAAATACTGATAGAGCAAAACAGGTACAGTTTATCTCCTTATGTTCCAGGTTAAAGCGTTTCATTGTTTTCCTAAGTAGAAAGGACCCCCCCCCCCCAGGATTCTATTTGTACTTCCCCCCTTTTTTGGCATTACGTTATTGGTTAAAAACAAAACAAAACAAAAAGCTCAACAGAAAAGCATCAGCAGGGTCTCAGCGCTTTCCTCTGGTTGGCAGGGTAGGCAGGGAAGGGAGGGTGTGGATAATACGGTTGTGAACTGTCTACTGCCTTTACCTTCCAAACTGAGTAGATGTTCACGTAGGATGGAGCTCTTGTATGCACTTCAGCCTGTGTGAAAGTATGTTATCAGGAGACTGCTAAGCTAACAATAACTTTTAACTGTGAAACTAATCTTGACTTCCACTTTTAGAATAATAGAATCATAGAAAATGAGGGTTGGAAGGGACCTTAGGAGGCCATCTAGTCCAACCCCCTTCTCAAGGCAGGACCACTCCCAACTAGATCATCCCAGTCAAAGCTTTGTCTATCCAGGTCTTAAAAACCTCCAAGGATGGAGCTTCCACCATCTCTCTGGGTAACCTGTTCCAGTGTTTTACTACCCTCCTAGTGAGAAAATTCTTCTTAATATCCAACCTAAACTTCCTTTGCTGCAACTTGAGACCATTGCTCCTTGTTCTGTCATCTGCCACCACTAAGAACAGTTTAGCTCCATCCTCTTTCAAACCCCCCTTCACGTAGTTGAAGGCTGCTATTAAATCTCTTTTCAGTCTCCGTTTCTCTAGACTAAATAAGCCCAGTTCCCTTGGTCTTTCCTCATAAGTCATGTCCCCCTCAGCCCCCTCACCCTTTTTGTTGCCCTCTGCTGGATCCTCTTTACAGAAATCCCTTTTCACATTGAGATCTGTAGGAAAGAAAATCCAATCTAAATATTGGTTACTAGAGCCTTTTGTAGGAGCCCCCTTGAGTGTGTGAAATCAAAAAAATAAAACAATAATAATTTCAAAATTTTTCTGCAGCTATTTGTTGATATAAAATGGCAGAGAATAATAAATTTTATATACCATCTGGCATAACTATATCTGCTTGGTAACACTCTAAAAAGAATCATCTATAAGAAGCTCGAGAGCTAAGATTTTATAGTACATCCTGAATAGAAGAACATATGCAGTTTTCTTTGTACAGTTGACAAATTTCAAATATGAATCTCAAATATTAATAAACTATTCTAAAGACAACTAAGTGGCAAAATTGCGTTCTTTTAATTGAACTAAGGTTTGAAATAAGAAGCAAATTGTTAAAAGTTGTAAATGTACAAAAATGTTTTTGTATGAAAGGAGCGACAGATTGTGCAATGCAAAAAACCCAGCCTTTGTAAAACAGAGTTACTAGCTGACAGAATTTAAATAGAAAATCTATGATTTGTTCTCTCTTATAGCCTTAGTTCCCTTCTTGACTTTCTTCTAAACTTCCATTCTGTTGTTTTTTCCATCTAAAACAATTCCCATAATTCATCATTTTTCTAGCCTCTCTTACAAAAATCTTAGGTAAGCATACTTAAAGAACAACCATTTGTACTTTCTGTAGACATTATTTTCCCTGTGTCTAAAAACTGAAAACGTGATGATTTATAGGGAACATTGACTAAGTGGTTTAATTCTTCTGTTTTGGTTTTGGTCTTGGGTGACGAAGGTTTCAAAAATGACAGCTAAGGGGATTTTTCTCCCCTATCTCAACTGTAAAACTGCTGCTTCGAAGTTTGGTGGTCCTTAGAGTGTTATCGTCTCAAAGGAAAAGTGACAACGGCCAACAATATGGATGCAGCAAACTTAATTCAGATGTTATCTTCCAGCTGTTTTAATGGCAAATTGTCAAGCTCATTTTTATGTCCCTTTTTTCCTTTTTTGCAGGAAGATAATTGCTCCACTTGTAACTCGTCATGGGAAGTTATGGTCCAACTTTTGGGGTGCACTAAGCCCTGATGGTTATTATGCGCGATCAGAAGATTATGTGGATATTGTCCATGGAAATAGAGTGTAAGTAATCTTAAGTTGATCACAAAAGTCAGATATATCTTATATACTTTCCTTGCTCCATAAATATAAGTATTTTCCCTCTGAATACATAATTACTGAACTGTTACCATTGGCTATATTGAGTTTCTCTAATAACACGGAATAACTTTTTTCCACTTTTTTAATGGTGGACTCTATATAAGGGTTTTAGAAAATAGACAGTATTTATACAGCTAAAACCCATGTTTTTAATACAGTGGACTCTATATAAGGGACTTAATACTGTTTGTTTATATGATTATTTCTGGTCAGAGTAGGAAAATATACTATTAGCAGAAACTGAAGGATTTGTAGTTTTTGTTTGTCATTGTCAGTTTCTACAAAGAGCAATTTCAGTGTCATTTTCATTTGGCTCTCTTCTGAGGATTATTTTGTTTCATGGGCGATTTTTTTGAACAATAACCATTTTTGTTACAATATTATTCAGTATATATTGTGCCTTTACATGCATATCTTGGCTTAAAGCAGAGCAGTAGTGAAATACTTTTATTTCACACAAAGTAAATTTACCACAAAAGTTATTGGGTTCAAAATATTTTGAACCCAATCTCTGTATGTCCCAATACCTTTTTATATTGACCTGACAGTGCAAGGAGACTTTTATGATAAAAGTGGTCAATTCTGTTGGTTCTATTTATTTTTATTCAGATCAGATGTATAGTGGTGTTATTTCTTCTGCAATATTTGCTACGAAGTACAAATTGAAGAATTTTTATATGGATAGGAGAATAGAGTGAACTTTTTTTCTCTTAGAGAACTGGATCTGGGAAACAGGAAATCTGCAAAGCAGTATATTGTACTATAGAGATACCTATTTGTTGCTGTTGCCCTGGTTTACATAAATGCCAGCTGCAGTCAATGGGTATTAGTGTAAAGAGGTTAATTCAGCTGTAGGAAGCTAGAATAGAATTTTTAACTAATATGAAATGTTTCACTGTTTTATGCTTCTGGCAGCATAGCCTAATATTACAATATAAAGGAATTTGATTGATAGCCTTGACCTGCTCCGAAAATAGACAGTATTTATACAGCTAAAACCCATGTTAGAGAATTTGGCCTTGTTTTCTTCATGATGATACCTCATCACAATTGAATTACTGACTTTTATATAGGGTGTGGTTCCTTCAAGTCCAGCTGTAGTTCTTCAGATATCTTGGGAACTTTTTCTCTGTGGTTGCCTTGAATTTTGTTTGGATTATCCAATAAAAAACAAAATACTGATTTTTATTTTTATTTTTTCCTTTAAAAAATAAAATAAAATAAAAATTGTTGCTTTCCTTGTCTTTAAATTACCGTCTTTGATTTTTTTTATTTTTTTATTTTACAGAGGGCTATGGAATATTCCATATGTGGCTAATATATACTTAATTAAAGGACAAACTCTCAGGTCAGAGATGAAAGAGAGGAATTATTTTGTTCGTGATAAGCTGGATCCTGATATGGCACTCTGCAGGAATGTCAGGGAAATGGTAAGGTCTGTGTGTAATGGCTTGCTTTTAAAAGGATTTCTTGAAGGCTTTTTTGTGCATCATGCAACACTTGATTTACTAAAGCTTTAATTGTTATATTTCCTATTAAAAGTACTAGCCAATTTTGGGGGGAGTTAACAGATTTATCGTGTATTTCTTCATATTATTGAATGGTTCACTGGGCCCCACATGATGATACTTATTTAAGTATACTTAATAGTTATATATACATTAAATTATCATGTTTGTTGCCACAATTGTATATTCTGAAAGATAACTCATCAGCCCTCCTGTTATATTTATAATTTATATATTTATATATAACACTATTGTATATAATCTAAATATATGATTAATAACTACATAAGAACCATTTATACACACAATTTAGAACCTCTGACAAAGTTAAGGGAAACGCTGTGTTTGCATATTTAAATAACAGCACCTTAAATTTGATGACTGAAGATGTAGATACAAAAATTGTAAGTCATTTTCAGATTGTGAATAGTTTTATTGAAGTACACAAATGATGCGTGTATTCTTCCTAGACCAGGGTGATCAACCTTCAGCCTGCAGGCGAGATCCGGGTCCTGGTGCCATGTCATCTGGCCTGTGAGCTCTCCTCAGGTCTGGAAATTTGGCGGCAACAGTGCCACCACTCTCCTTCTTTGGCCAAAATTTCTGGACCTGTGGAGGGCCCCGGGCCCTGAACGCTGGATCTGGGTGCCCAATCCCAGTGTGCAGGGCTGGGTGGGGGCAGCACCAGGGCCCAATCCTAGCACACAGGAGTAGGGGGAGGGGGTGGCACTGGGCTCCAGGGCCCAACTTGGGCATGCAGGGATGGAAGGGGATCAGGCCCTGTGAGGCCTTATCCTGGCTTGCAGGGCTTGAACAGAACCCTCTAGCCCATGAGGCCAAAACCTCGAGCATCGCTGCTCTAGACAAATTCAAATTTTACTAAGATTTATGCTATGTGCTGTTTTCCATGCTATGTTTTCAGTGATATAAGAAGATTTATATGCATTACAAGGGTATAAATATGTCAAATCCATATTTGTACTGATATTTGCACTAGTTTCAGAGCAGAAACAAGTAAGAGCTAAACCAGAGCTATTTGCAGACACTATAGCATTGAAAAATAATTTGCTGAATTGAACAAGAAAAGTTGGCAAGTATTCATTTTTTATTCCCTCTGCAGTAAGGCATGATTTTGTTTGTCTGTCTTGGTTCTTCAGAATGGCCCAATCAACATTCTTTTGTTTTCAGGCCTTTTAGTGCCCATTATTGTAGACTACGCTTCTGACATGCTTGTGTTTTGAACTAATTTGACTCTGTGGCTTGTTGCAGAATTGCCTTCTCTCTTTCTCTTTCTCAGCCTGTGCTATAGGATGGTGTGGTATGTGCTTGTTTTTGTATTGCAGCAGCTAAATGAAGAGGCTGGTGAATACAGCTTTAACATGTACATGATGAGCTTTGCTTGGTGTTGCATGTTGTCCATAAAGGCTTTTTCAGAATATCAGCTTTAGACCAAAAAGGCTGCTATTTATTTAATTTAAATAGGAAACCTAATACATAATCTGACCAAGAGAAAGAGACCATACAATGGTCAACTGATGTGATACTTCTCCTTCATTTTAGACTTTACAAAGGGAAAAAGACTCCCCTTCTTCGGAAACATTCCATATGCTCAGACCCCCAAAGGTGTTGCTTTATTTATTTTATTAATTGTTCTTACATACAGTACTATTCTACCAGAGGAACATCTTTCTCCTCTGTCCACTTATCTTACTATCACATTGCTTTATCATTCTCTTCAATATTAAAATTCAAATTTTCAAAAATGGCCGATGACTTTGGGTGTCTAACTCAAGATAGCTTTCCAGAGTGAGTTCTCTTAGGGCTAGGAAGCAGATGAGCTGTGTGGTGTGTATGTCACAACATGCCTGATCCACCCGATCCACTTAACTGATTGAAACACCCAGAATACACAATTTGTCCTGTCCTTGATGGTGCAGAACAAAGAGTGATGTGATCTACCTACTTTCCCTGTTTAACAAGACTTGTCCCATGAGGTGGCAGTGGCAGTGGAGTTGGTCTGGCAGAGAGGAGAACCCCATGATTGCCACTTAGAGAGGCACGCTGAGATTCCCTGGGAGATTTGCCTTTCTGTAATTGAGGAAAGTGGGGAAGGTGCTTTGGGGGTCAGAGAACCACCAGAGCAGCCACCCAGGGTGGCTGGAGAGTAGGAGCAGCTCAGGGAGAGCTGATAGCTGCCACAGAGCTAATAGATGTCTGATTCAATAAGGAGGCAGAGTCTATTGCACCATTTTCACCACTAATTTTCCTTGGGTGTGGCACAGCAAAGGGTAGTGATGTGTATTAGCCTGCTATTTGTACTGCCGTGAAAACCTTTTATGGCAGCACAAGAGACATGTCAGGTGACATCTGTTTCTGTTTTTAGTGCTTCTTAAAATCAGGTTGCTTTATAAATGGCTCATATTTTGCACCCAAAATTGACTCAACCTAAATCAGCAATCACTTTTGAAGAGTTTAAGCTAGTGTATTTCAAATAATGGCTGTCGCAATGAAATGGCAAAAGTTTCAGGAAGTGAGAGACCATGGTGCGGTATGACACTGTGACCAGTGGACATCCTTTAAAAATTCCTTATTGTCCTCCATGCACGCTACCTGTTTTAAATGCATTTTCCCATTGTAAGTAAGAGGGAAAGCTATGAAACCTGAAAATACTTTCAAGTGTCCCTCCTCTTCATACAACTTGATTTTTGTGTTTCTCTAGACTATGCTGATGTAGTACAAAAATAAAAATGGTGCAAGATGATAGTGACTTGGGCCTGGTGCATTTTTATTATGTAGGGAATTATTGAAACAAGTTTTTTAAAACCCCCCACCTTTGCAGCTACTTGATAAGGGTCAAGAAATGAGGACATGTTGAACTCATTTGTTAGCTTGCTGGCAATTTAACAGTTTTTTCAGACCTGAATATGAGATACTAAATACGAGAAAACAAGTGAGAAGGACTTGCTGTTACGCAGACCTAATATATGGAAAAGCTTACAAAATGGATGCTTTAGCGGGGAAAAAAATAACGAAAAGTCCAATTTCTTTATAGTATATATATTTTCTGCTAATTTTACTCCAGGAAGCTCCATTAATATTTTTAACTTTTATTTCTGAAGCAATTTAGCAGCACATTTAATTTTTCTTCCTTATCCTATTGAAGTGCTCAGATGTTGCCTGTCCTTATCTCAATCCATAATGCACATTGTATGTTCAGATGCATGTATTTTATTTCAGGTCAGTTCACCAAAGAGTTAATTAATACTTTGAAACAATGCAGAACTTTAATATTAGGTGTCCTGGTGCTGCCTCATCTGTTCTCTCAAAGTTCACTTATATCACTATTTAAATCAGAATCCCAGATTTTGTCATCACTGTTTTCCTGAGAAAGAGCCTTTCATTTTATTTGTGTACAAACAGGTATTTCCAGTGTTCTGAGCACTTAACATTGTCTTTTTAGGTTACTGAAGAAAAAAAACTATTATCTTTTGTTTTCCTTTTCTAATAGCATGTTTTTGCACTATTATAAATGTATTGGTCTAATTGGTTAGAAAATAAATGTCATTAAAATTTTTTTTAGCAACATTTAGAAAATTCTATTAGAATATTTGTGGAAAACTTAAAAATTTTCTAAACATGGCATTGTGGATTACAGTAAAGCATGTCTAGGAACTAATAATACTGGCTGTGATCAACATCAGTTCTTTGAGGGTTAAAAGTATTAAAATCACAAACGGTCAAAATGTGCATGTATAAACAGGTGTGTACAATATATTGTGAACCTATACATTGTGTTTTTAATAGAAAAAATGAAAAGCTAAATGTTGTTCTTACTTTAAGTAGTACCATAGACATTTCTAACATTACTTTCTTTGTTTGATATAGGGCATCTTTATGTACATTACCAATAGACATGAATTTGGAAGACTTATTTCAACAGCCAATTACAATACCTCTCACTACAACAATGATCTCTGGCAAATTTTTGAAAATCCTGTGGTATGCATTTCACTGTATATGAAGCTATTATTGGTTTTTACAAACAACTATGTACCAATATACTATGTATATACAGATATAAAATTTTTAACGTATAATTGAATAACATCAAAGTGCTACAAATCTGTTGGTGTCCACCCTTAACATCAGGTCAGTGATGCCATATTATGCAAAGCATATAACTGAAAATCTGATAGAAGAAATGTATGTGTGTAAGAAATGTGACTGTGAAAAGCCATGCTTCCTAAAAAGGAGGACCTAGAGTTAATTTGCAGATATACATGAAAACCTGTAATTTTATTTAATGGTCTGAATACAAAAATAAATGTAAATGAATTAAAGTATTAGCATACTTTTCAGCTTCTATGCAGCTGTGTTTAAATTTTTAAAAATGTTCAAATGAGCTTTTAATTTATTCAGATAATTCTTTTCAGGACTGGAAGGAAACCTATATAAACCCCAATTACTCAAAGATCTTCACTGACCAAATAGTGGAACAGGTTGGTTGCTAATAATACTAGCATGAGATGCACAAAAAAACAGATGTTTTATATAACATCTTTGATGTTACAGTAAATTGGCATAGAATAATTGTTTTAACAGCCATACCACAGAGCTATGATCATAGAGCTGTGGAGATTTAGAGGTCTGGATACAAAACTGGATATTGCATTGTGAAATTCCTTACAGTTGAGCTTAGCAAGACTTGTGGTTTTCAGTAGTTAGATGGGAAATGTCAAAGGAAAACCCAGATACAAGAGAACACGGTGCTTATGACTCATTGGGAAGGAGGCTCTCCTCCCTCCTGAATTGTTGCTGAGCCAATACCCCAGAATATTGCTATGGGACGGTATGGATTGAAGTACTGTTTTCCAAATAAATATTAAAACTGTTGTGGACAGCACTTGAGATCAAAATAACCACACATTACAGCAACTTAAATAGTCTATTGCCTGAGAAGTTGATACTAATCACTTAGTTCATTCCAGGACTGAAGTCCTGTTCCTGTTGATGTCACAGCAAAGCTTCCATTAATATCAACAAGGCCCCTTTCATCCCACAAGTTAAGGTGGTCATTATAGGGATTCTCTTCCTTCCACCTATAGAGCATCTAAATTGACATAAGTGCCTCAGTACAATTCTATTCCACCTTGTTCAAGTTGCTGAAAATCCATAAATTCACCTACTTTTGTAGATGATCATCGGACCCTTGAGTGAGATGCAAGAAAAAAGTGGGGAGAAGACCAGCCCACCTTTTGTTGTGTGTAATAGAATCACACATGGGTGATAAGTCTGCTTACATACCTAATAAATGGAGTAGAACGTGACCTTATTAGACCACTGCATATTCCTGATAGCTGGAGTTCTATTTAATGACTTTTTTCAGAGTTTAGCTTTATATGCCAGTACCACTTCAGTGGAGAAGGTTTTTCAAAATTGCTAATCATTGACCTAAATATATTCCTACTAAAATCATTACCTGCCAACTACAGGAGAACTTATAAAGAGGTCAATTTATAAGAAGAAATGAGATGTTTAAATAGGTTGGCAGGAGAAGTCTAGGGCTGTGATTGCCAGACCATATTGGAATATATTTGGTCCAGTTGGAAGACTTCAGAGTTGATTTAATTAAAACATGTATGAGACCCTAATAAAATCAATCCTAATGATATGGAAAGTCTAAATATGAATAGGAAGATAAGGTTTATTGACCCTTGAATATTATACAAACTTTCACCGTAACTTATTTGTCTTCAAGTGATGTTGACAGTAGTTTCAAATTGATAAGAACTCTGTAGGAGCTGCTGAGAATATAATAGTGTTGAAATGCTTATTTGTAGAACTAATACATTGTTGTATAGAATGGAGATGCATTTTAAAAGGTATTTTTGAAAGATGGCACAACACGTTTGTCAGATTTAGTGCTGTCTTCCTGATGACATTAAATTGAGGGATGGTGAGCATAAAATGTAAGATTTTATTCTTGCGCATATTGTGGTGGGGTGTTTGCTGCTGTTAGGGGTTTATTGTATGTCTGCTTTCTTTCTTTCTTTTTTTTTAAAGAGGGAGTGATGGCTGCTGTTCTGGAAGCCCGTGGGTTCTCACCTCAATCCTTGCCCCCACTGGGACAAACTTTCCCCAGTGTACTCTATCCACATTATCCAATAACTATTAAATATAAAGGGAAATTTCTCAGCTTCAAATGGAGCACTGAAGAAGGGATATGTAGGATGTGTAACCTGTGGTGTGGTGGTTGGAGCACTGTGCTGGGAAGTTAGAGAGGCTCAAATCTCCTCTGGATAGTTCCCTGGCCAATGCGTTGCTTAATAAGCATGTAATAAGATATGTACACTTACACACCTACACTGCACAGTTAATATAAGCACAAGCTGTGCAAAAGTGCCAAAACATAGTACTTGCCCTGCACATAAATATTTAGGAGCTCAAAGGATAATAGAATTCTGTCCCATCTCTGATCTGTCAGCATTTATTTAAACTTTGACTTTCACTTTCAGTATTTCTTTTCTCAAATTTTAGTTTAAAGGGAACCTAGGGGAGAAGCCAAATGTAGATTTTTTGTTACCATTACAAATATTTTACAAGGGGATATGTTGGGATCAGTTACCTGTTGAAAAATCATGAATGTTACACAACCTAAAATAATTAACATTTTGTAAGTTGAAGAGGTACTGTGTTTTTCCATAGTAGTTAGTTTTTACTTCCAATGAAAATGCAGTTGTGGGTCAAAAAATTATTTCATTACTTCAGTAGGCCTGAATTCTGACTTGGTATGCAAATAGTGACATTCTGTTAGTGACCTGTATATCACATTATTGTGTTTAACAGTTAAAATAATAAAAATGATCACAGTAACAAATGATTTCTCACTGATGAGGAGGCGGGTGTTTTTTATAGCCATGCCCAGATGTCTTTTGGTTTCCCATATTTTCTGAAACTGCCTGTGATGAACTGGTAGAAGAGATGGAACATTATGGACAGTGGTCAGGAGGAAAACATAAGGTAAGCCTCACCTTTTGTGAGCAAACCTGACAAATAGCAGTTCCTTGTGAATTTTAGTATTCTCAATAAAACTCCTTGATTGGAATGTACAATATACCTGCTCTACCACCACTGAGCACTGAGCATATTTTGACTTTGCAATTATTTGTTTATCGATGTAGCCAAGCTAGTTTTAAACTTAGAGGAACTCAGTGTGGGTTACCTGCTTGGGTATGTGCTAAACTTCTCAGGTGGGTCTTGCAGTCTGCTCCAAGGTCTATGCTGCTAATACTACACTGCTAGCAGTATCTGAGCTAGCTAGTTTAAAGTGATCTCAGCTATGCCTTCAGGAACAGTGGTCCCATATGTTTATGTCCATACTTCTGCAGTTTTTTCAAACAGATTGTAACTTGAATTATATATGTACCAGAAAACTGCTTCTCCTGTTTCAAGGCCTGTGTTGGTTTTACATCAGGATAGCCGTATATCTGGAGGGTATGAAAATGTCCCAACTGATGATATTCACATGAAGCAAATAGGATTGGATAATGAATGGCTGCATTTCATTAGAGAGTTCATTGCACCAGTAACTCTAAAAGTCTTTGCTGGCTATTATACCAAGGTAAACATGTCATTATTATGTTAATTAATAGTTCCAAGTAGATAATTTACAATGAATATATTTTTTAAATTAATCCTAACCTTTCCTCTCTTGGACAAAGAGAAAGTTGTACTTAAATAATGTAAGATGACTATCAAATCTGTACCTTGACTGAAAATTATTAAAACTTGAGCTATATTGCCTCATTTTTATTAGTCAGAGAAATGCAATATTGTTGTAATAGCTTCTGTTGCTCTTTGAGAATATTTATTAATGACTGGTAGTGTCCAAGTGATGTTGTATCCATGATCATCCAGGGAATTATGTAAGAGGCAAAGATTTTTTTGTGGGTGATACCTTTAGACTAATTGGTTGGGGTAGACTTAATAGACTTAATGAAAGGTTTTGAATGTCAAGCTTTTGAATGTAAAATACAAATTCTGATTAGCATTCCTTTGGATTACCATGCATTTGTTTCAGGGACGTGCATTGCTGAATTTTGTTGTAAAATACACTACTGACAGACAACGTTCCCTTAGACCTCATCATGACTCCTCTACATTTACAATCAACATTGCTCTAAACAAAGTGGGAAAAGATTTTCAAGTAAGTCTGACACTTATTCATTCAACTAAAAATTGCTAATTTTGATTTATCTTTCCCCTAATCATTTCTGTGGTTGGGTCTAAATAGATGTAGTTTGGATCATGTGGATGAAGAAAAGACAGCATAGATTGAAGCATGAAGTTTCTGGACTTTGGGAGGGGATAACTAGTAAATTTGCTGAAAAATAATGTATTGGAAGGTCTGAAACTATTTGAAATTGGGTTGACATTGGCAAATTTAGATTGAAAAAATGCAGGGGAAAATTAAATACTGAGATGTTTTATTTCAGTGCATTTTAAGTAAGATAATTGATTTCAGAAATAGCAATTTGGACCTTTCCAAAACAGATCTTTTTAGATCTTTATTTCAAAATGACATTTTGAATTTATTATAGTGGGAATGTTGTAGCTATGATTCTCAATGAAATGTCTGAGGGGCAAGGATTTTTTGAGTTTTTTTTTATTAGTCCAACTGTATAATTGGGAGAGCTCTAGGAATCTGATCAGAAGCACACTGAAGGAGCACTTGTCAGGACTTTGTGGCTCACAGGAGTCTCTGTAGCTCCCTCCCCACCTCCAACTATGTGCTGTTACTGTCGCACCCCATCACTCTGTAACACTGCTCACCTCGCAGGTAGGCAGTAGGGCTGTGTGAAATTTCACTTTGTGTTTTGTTTCAAAGCTGTTTCGATATGTTTTGAGCTCAAAACAGCAAAATCAAAATGAAAAAATGCCTTCGAAACAGCTTCAAAATGAAACGAGGGCACTTAAAACATTAAAAAAATTTCAAAAGGTTTTGAGTTTCAAAGCTGGGCTTACTTGGTTTCAGCGCTGGTCCCAGGTGGCAGGAGCAGCCTCCTGTGATCTGGCAGAGCTTGCACCCCGTGGAGGGCTGCAGGGCTCTGCTAGATTCCTCCCAGGAGTGTGGGGGGCCCTCGATCTGCCTGCTGGATTAGAGGAGGCTGCTTCTGCTGCCTGGGACCGGTGTTGGGTGCAACCAACACCCAGCACGGGAAAGCTTGGTGATGTTGCTGGCTGCAGCCAGGAGCAGCAGTCTCCTGTGATCCGGCAGGCAGATTGGGGGCCTGCCCGCACCCCCAGGAGGAGTCCAGCAGCCCAGGGAGGGGCTGTGCCAGATTCCTCCTGGGAGTGCGGGCCCCCAGTCTGCCTGCCAAATCACAGAAGGCTGCTTCTGCCACCTGGGACCTGCGGCAGCACCAATGTTCCTGGTGCTGGGTGCAGGCTGCGCCCAGCACTGGTCCTAGGCGGCAGCAGCAGCCTCCAGTCATCCGGCAGGCACATCGAGGGCTTCCTGCATCCCCGGAAGGAGTCCCGCAGCCCTTCTGGGGATGTGGCCCCTGGATCTGTCTGCCAGATCACAGGAGGCTGCTGCCACTGGCAAGTGACAGTTTTGCTTATCAGCACCTTGAAGTACAGTTTCCCAGAACCCTCTGCACCTATCTCCTTGAAACTTGGCAGGCTTCAGGCCCTCAGAAGGGGTTACCATTCCTGCACGTTTTATCTGAATCAGGCTAGAAATGACAAAATTATAGGCAGTTTTGTGCTTTCCCGTTGTAGCCTATGGGCAAAATGTTGAAACAGCGTTGAAATAGTTTTGACAAAAAGAAACGGAACAATGCTTTTGAAACCAAATGAAACGCTGTTCTGTTGAAACAGAAGTTGAAGCAAAACAGTGCTGTTTTGCACAGCCCTAGTAGGCAGACGGTACTCCTTACTTGGGGGTCTGTGCTAGGATAGAGGGATGTTGGGAAGATGGTTTAAAAAGGGATAAGTAACTTGAAAATGAAACTAAACACTTTGTTTTGGGCAGAATGAAATATTTGTATCCATCCAAAATTAAATTTTTAATTTTATTTCTGCATTTAGATAAACTTGTTAAATATTCAAAACTGATATTGAAAGCTAGCAGCTACGCATCCCTGCATGCTGTAGCACATGCAGCTTTACTTTCATTTTTCCCTGCAGAAGCTGGTGACAACAACTGCTGTTACTGTATTTCTTCTATTACAACACTCCCCTCCTCCCAATTTTGAGGAAAGGTGCATGTTGTAAGCAAGAGAATATGGTAATTAGGACTAGAATCTGGCCTTGATTACTTACTCTAGGTAGAGCAGCTTGTCTAATTTTTACTCACTAATGCAGTGATTCATAGGAACAGTTGCTTCATACATTCTGGTGTGCTGTGATACTCTGGGGTGCTTTGAGATCCTTTCAAGGGGCCCGGGATCTCCTGGGGTCAAAACATGCCCCCATGCTGCAAAATAGCAGTGTGGGGAATTTCTTTTTGTGCCATGTGTCATGCCAAAGACAAGTCTGCGTTACCACACACTGCACATCCACAATCGTTTGGACGTGCCCAGAGATCATTCTGACCTGTTGTGGTCTTTCTGAGTTGTTTGCAAGAGAAAAATCTCTCTCATTTTTTCTGTAGTGAAAAAATGAGAGAGAACTTGCGACCCAGGATTTTCTGAAGGGGGCTCAAATCTATAAAGGTTGAGAACTGCTGCACTAAGGCATGTAATACCTTCTGTACTCTTATGCTTGAACGATTATGAAACCTGCTTCCCTTAGAAACTGCTATTCCTGTTCAAGAGCTCTGATTCAGGAAAGCAATTAAAATGTGATTCAGTACTACCTGAGCTAAATTGCTTCAGCTCTAACCTTGGGTGAAGCAAAGTTAAAGTTGGTATAGGTTTCCTACAGGCCTGTACTCATGGAGCAGCTGAAGTGTAGCAGCTGCTCTGTGCTCCTGAGCAAGTTTGCCCACCCTTTCCCCTCTCCCTCCACGTATACCCACTTTTGAAAGTGCTCTCAATGAATGTTTTGTCCATTTCCCTAGGGCAGGGGTGCTCAAGCCCCAGTCTGTGGGGCAGATCTTGCCTGTGGAGTTGTCATCTGGCCTGCAAGGCTCCCTGCAGGTCCAAAAATTTGACAGCGGTTGTGATGGCCGCTCCCCAGCTGCCAAATTTCTACACCCATGGGAGCCCCATGGGCCAGATAGCATTGCCCTGCATGTGGGGCTCAATATGGATGCACAAGGCCAGGAAGAGGTAGTCTAGAGCCAATTTAGGCACATGTAGGCTGGATAGAGGCAGCATCCCAGAAGCATGGGGACGAGAGGAGTTAACACAGGGCCTAAAGACTGAGCACCACTGCCCTAGTCTAATGTGATAACACTTTTTTAATAGTGTTACTGAAAGGTGGTGTAGTTACAAATACACCGTTGCATCTAGTTAAAGGAGCTGCTGGTTGTCAAAGCAAAATAGACTAAACTTCACCATTGCTGCCACAGGTACAGCACCAAAGACAACATCACTTAAGCAGCCTTAGCACTAATAGCTAATGAACTTCTGTTGTTTAATAATCTATTAATAAAACATTTTCTATTTCAATAACAAAATCCCTGTTTGTAAATGCAGTTATAAACCAAACTAAGCTCTTTTTTTCTCTTACTTTTCTGACAGGGAGGTGGGTGCAAATTCCTTAGGTACAACTGTTCCATTGAGTCGCCCAGAAAAGGATGGAGTTTCATGCATCCAGGAAGACTTACTCATTTACATGAAGGACTTCCCATTTTAAATGGAACAAGATACATCGCAGTATCGTTTATTGATCCTTAACTTTTTAATTTGTTTCTGCCATGTCAAAGCCAGTGTTTGATTCTTTGGCGCGAATACTTATTTATAGTTTTCCTCCAAGAAGATAGCAATGGTGATGAACAAAAATGTAAATTGCATCTTTACTTTGGACTAGAAGATTGAACAATAAAAACAGCTTTACAATTGTTGGGAGATTTTCCAAAAGTCTTTTCTGAGCCTTAAGTCACAAAGTAAGAATATCCTGCTTATTTCTCCATTTTTGCTGTCTTGTGGAGCATGGTAGGAAGGGAAAATGGAACTACTTTTTTAATGAATCAATTTTTCTGTTACAGCAAAAATTACTGGATGATTTTATATCTCTAAATTTTTTCTGGTTTTCCTTCAGTAAAGTGAAACAGCTGAATTTGTTTGGCATTCATATTTTAAAGATACCAGTAGAAGAGCATGTAGCACTAGTATCAAGTGAATCCCGGCCCCAGCAAAAGTGAATAACATTTTTCATTTAAGTAAAAATTATTCATGTTGGTGGCTACTTAATGAAACCCCTCAGTTAAATCTTTTTAAAAGTTTTGTTCATATAACATACTAAAATGCATCTCCTCTGAAAAGAAATATGTGCATTGCTGAAAAGGATTCATTGTAGAAATGAAGAAACAGGTTGAAAAACTTAGATAAAAAGTGTGCACTTCTATGTAATATTGGAAAAAAATTTTTAACGAACTCATCCAGTTAAAATGTTACTTCTCTTCGCCAAGTGTCCTTCAATTGAAATGAGGTATTTTTGTAGATATACCAGATCAACACTAGAAAGCAGAATCCTGTTTTCAAAGCATTGGTAAGGAAATATCAGGATGTTTTGTAAACATAATTTTCTATTCTTATTTAAAGTTACTTGAATTTTATATCAGGAAAATGATGTTGCAAAAGACTCTTTTTATGAACCTAAGTGGTTTGACTTGGCATTTATAAAGGAATCAATTTTAAATATTCCTACTGTATCTACTGTTTGTAATTTAAAAAAACCAAACTTGAAACAGCCATTAAACCATGAAGTCTAAGGTGCCAAAATAGTATTTTTAAAAACCATGTGACCTTGTGAAAAATAAATGGTAATTTTAAATTAATATTAGTTTTCTTGTGTATTTTAGTAAATTTAGCACATTGCTATTTTCGATACATACTTCTAGAAAATGTGTTGTATTTAGTGACTTATACATTTAAAGGAATTATTGTGCGTCATGATGTGCATGATCACAAAGTTTTCTTTTAATACCCTGTATGTTCACCTCTGTTACTATTTAAATTATTTCTCTCATTAGTTAATGCTTAAGTCTTGATCAAGATAGGCAATATTTGAGAGCTTGAGCAGTAATATACTTGGATGCCATGTACTACAGTAACACTTCTAAGCAGGTTACTTAGTGACGCAAGTAACAATTCTTTCTTCTTCACACCTGACTGATTGGGTGCTAATATAAATTAAGTAAAATATAAGAACTCTAGGACTGTGGAGCAGTGAGTAATTATTTTTAACACCAGGTTCTGTTGTTCCAAATTTTCATTTCCCTTAACATTGTACCCTTATTTTTTTTCCAGTGCAAGTAGATGTTTACAGATTGCAGAAATACATGTTTGCATTGCATTTCTTGACCTGTATGATATCCATGCCTACATGTACCTTTAGCTGACTGATATTCTTTGGACTTTGGACTGAACTTCTAAAAGCTATGAAATTCAGAAAATCTCCAGGGTATGAAAGCAGTCTTTGTTAACCATCTTTTTTCCAAGTATTTGCTTGCGGTCTGTTTAGGCTACCATAGAACAGAATACTCCTTTACTGTGTGGTCAGTTTAATATAGGTCAAAGTATTGAAGCATTCTTTATAAAGAAATACTTGAAAACAGGACAAAATAAAGTTGTTTGTAAACTATCTTTTTTTCATAATAATATGTGGATCATTTTTACATCATTTATACTACTTCTATCCTATATTGTTTCCCCTTAATTAGATTATTTGGATTCTAATTATTTGCAGACACTTTTTGTTTCTTTGTTTAAATTTTTATATTTTCATTCATTAATTCAGTCTCTCAGTTATAATGAGCTGTTTCAGTGACTTCATCTTGCTCAGGCTTGCATTGCTAAACTCCTCTCCCTTGTTATTTCTTTTGATGAATCATTTATAAAGATTACTGAGTCCCTTTCAGGCATTCAGAAATATGTACAATTATGAGGGGGAGAGTAATTTTTTTTCTCTTTCCTTTTTTTTTTCTTTTTTTTGGAATTAACTAAATAGTGAAGAATAGGTTAATCCCTATGTACATTAAAGTCCCAATATGGATATGTTTGGTCTTAATAATGGATTTAGATATTTTTACTAATAAGAAATTAAGACTGTAAAGTGTACCTTGAAAGAAGTTCTGAGGCTCTTAACATCAGACTAAAGAACTGAGAGGCAAATGAAGAAAATAGCAGCTGCCTAAACTCAGGCAGTATAAATGAGACTCTGGGAGTACAAGGACATAAAGGTGCAGTGCAGCAGATGAGACATTTACCAATTATCTAATTGGTTTTGCTTCTGTCTGGACCTAGATTTTCACTGATAAACCAAACTCAATTCTAGACTCAGTGGTGAGCATACTGAGCAGGAGGGCCTTTCTCCAATTAACAAAATAACTCAGTTATGTTTAATCTTTTAATCTACTCCAGGGGGAGTAATTCTGTGACCAATCTGGCCCTCCAGTATGATTTATGGGCAGAGTCCTAGAGATGCTCAGAACATCCAGTGAGGTATAAGCATGCAGAGATGTCATTTGGAATAGCTCTGCTCCATATGGAGCAGTTGTGACCACTGACATAAACCAATAGTTTTATTTTAGGGAATGAGATTTTCATGGGAAACAATGGGAGAGTGGGTGACACAATTCCTCCCACCCCCTTTCCCCCAGCTCCTTCAGCAAATTCCAAACTACGGTCTCTGCATGTTGCTCCAGGCTTTGCTTTCTTAAACTAAATTATTTGCAGGAAGGAAAAGTTGTTGAAATATTTCCAGTATTAGAGTTAAACTCTCAATGTTAGGCTATGTCATCATTCCAATTGCCTGGGCAACCTCAATTCAACTCTTGTGCAAATGCTACAGTTTTTATTAATTGCCACCAGTTCCCCCTACCCCCCACCCTGGGCCTGCTTTGGGGATGAATCGGGGTTACGTACTGAAAGCAGCTGTTGTTTGTGTAGGATTCCTGCCTCGTATTATCAAGGGTAAAAGATACAGACAGAATGTGGAAGGGGATTAAGAGTGAAGGCAGTTGAACGCCAGGCTGAAGGATAAGAATTTATCCCTGCCTCTGCCACAAAGATCCTTTGGTTTAAGTGACTTTCCTAGCATGATAGACTTTTCACCTGCAGTTGCCAAGTGTCTGCTCATTTCTCAGGCCTGACTTGTGATCCCAGGGTCTGACTTTGAGAAATTCACAGCTGCAGTGTTGGCTGGAGTGAATCAGAGCTGTGCTTTTAACTTAACATTATATAGTGCTTCACGTATGTCATACATGTTGTAGGTCCTCAATCCAAAATTGACTACTTTTTATTTTCTCTCTCTGCCTCTGTTTCCTACTTGTACAAAGGGAATAAGACTCAGCCCACATGAGTGTTATGAAAGTAAATCATTAAAGCTTATGAATCACATTTAATGTTCAGTGTTTACAGACATGCTCCGGGCACTGTAAATTAGAGTGGCTCCTTCCCCCTTCCCCCCAGAGCATTACATGTATTAGTGTCCCCATGCTGGAAAATAGCAACAGGTGTGGTTTAACTAAAGCTGATCAAATGAGCTTTAGTTAAAGCACCACTGCCATCCTGACACTGATTCATATGATCTGGAGTCTGCTGGAGTGCAGTTATTATCACACTCCAGCAGATTCAAATAATCGAGTGTGCTCTGACATGCTGTAATATAGCATGTTGGAGCAGCCTCCCTGCACATGTATAGGAGTCCATTGTTGCCATGAATTACAGAGAAGCCCATGAAGAAAATTCAGTTTTGTATATTTAAATAGTGGGGTATCAATATTATGCAGTATATAAGGCTTGGGAATCACATTTTGAATAACAATGAAAATGAAGTATTGAATAGCAGCTTATTCAGTGAGTACTGTCCCTTCTATGCACTAAATCAGGAAAAAAGTTTCTATTGGGAAAATAGTTTTTAAATATATGATCACACTCTGTCTTAATGCACATGCCCAGATTAAGTTTTTGTAGCAAATATTAATATTATTTAACTTGGGAATGTATACCTCTGCAGCCTTGGTGCTCTTCTTGTTCATGTAGTTTTCTGCATGTAGAAAAGCAAACAAAAAACACCCCCCCAACCAATTCCACTGTGGCCTCATATTGGTACCTACATGTGAATAATCAGCAGATTAGAAGTTTTAGACCAGCAGCACGGATCTCTTCCACTTAAGATAATAGAGCAACAAAACAAAGGGCTGTTTTCTTTGTGTAAAAGCACTAGAGGCAGAGGTGGGACTCTTTCATAGGTATTTCCTGACAACAGAAGAAGCATTGAAACTCCGGGATCTCAGGGCAATTTTACCACTGTTTCATTCAGAGGTTTGTGCAGGTTGTGGTTCAGATGGAACTGAGCTGTTCCAGGTGACATTCTGGTGGAAGTGAAATTAAGTTTCCTTGTGATTGAAAGTATGCACAAATTAAAAGGAAGCAAGAAGCACTGGTTAAAACATCCACGGTCTTGGCCTAGTGAAAATGGCACATTTATCCCCAGAATTCTAGACCTGTTTCCCCCTCAGTGGTGATATTTTGCTAGAAAATGCACACAATTCCATTGCACACAAATCACCAAGTGAAGGGTTTAAACAGCAGTGAGGGGGGAGGACACTTTTCCCAAGACATTTGGTGCTTTGACATGTTTGCTGTGCTTTTAGCAGTGTTTTAGATGATTCACATCCATGCATGAATCTGAGAATTACCAGTATATGGTAAATGAGTAGGTTGTGCTTAACAAATAGTTCCAGCTGTGCCTCCTCAGATGCAAGTTTGGTGCCGGACTTGTGCAGGAGGCTGCCCTGAACTGAGTCGGTTCTAAATGTGTACCTGGTCATTTGGACTGCAGAAACAAAGGCAGCCAGATGTAATGTTGCAGTTCTTACTTCCTCATGTGCCATTGGTTACACAAAGTGTCATATCTTTATCTCACTGCTCTGATAAACCACTAAGTGCAAGTTGACCATGTCTTTGAATTGATGACAAAAGTATGGATGTATTTTAGACATACTTAAAATAATCCATATATTGCTTCAGTTGCATATTTAAGTAATTTGCAATATATGTTGAGAATACAAATTTGAACAGTATTAAGAAACAGCTTACTCCCTTGCCTGTATCCTCAGTATCCCTACATGGGTATATACACTTTATCCAAAATATATTGCCTTCACTGGTAATGTGTTATTAGATGTCACCTTTCCAATGGTGATGAGAATAATGTGTTATCTAAGCTTATATTTTTCACAGGCTATTATTGAATTAAGCATGCACCGTCAGGAGAAAGGAAGACTAACAGAAAGCATATTATATATGAAATGCAAAATCTAGCTCCCTCCTCCATGGCTATGAAAGACCCCTTGAAAATGCAACCAGTAAATTTCCAGTGAAAATGGGGATTAGTTTCTCACAAGCTCCATGTGATGCAACCTATAGCATGGCATAAAATGGGCAAAGAGGGGTAGGGTAGAACTGGAATATTCAGTTGTGTCCTAATCTTCCAAGTCTTGTAAAGTACCACATCCCTGGTAGAAGTTCTACGAACCATTGGATTAGCACACTATCTGAGTAGTTTCAGTGAAATTCTGTAGTTTTCAGTAAGAATTTCTGCCCCCATTTTACATCTGTTTAATACAAATGCCTTCTTGGCCTCAACTCTGGGCCCTTCACAGTTGTTTTTTTTGCTTATTAACAAGCAAATACCCCATTTTGTAGGGACTTTTATCTTGCCATTCTGTGTTGAAAGGTGATTTCTTTCTTTATTTTTTTTTTTTAAACTGAGACAGTACATAAGCAAAATATACTGTCAAGACTTCGTTTTCTTTAAAAAGGGTCTGTGAGGCATGGGACACTGGAGTTTTCCAGAGACTGATTTATTAGTTGTATTATTACTACTACTACAGCAACAACAAATTAAGACATTCCAAATGGATAAGATTCTACTCGGTTTAATAGGGAAGTAATGTGATATTTATGAAGTTTGAACAACTTTCCTCCTTATAACACAGATAAAAATAGATAACGCGATACGTAGCTAAAGAAGGACTAACACATTTAATGTTCTACATGAAAAGCAACAGTGAAAACAGAGACAAACAGGTTTCAAAAATAGGTATGCAGAAGTTCTTGAAATGTTGTCTTAGCAAATATATTGAGCTGCTTTTGGCAACTTAGTTCCATCTTGTTTATTTTCAGTCTAAAAGGAACAGAAATACATTGTGGAAATATCCCTTACGGTCTGATTATTAATACTTTCGAAATGCTGGTGTGCACAAGCCTATTTTTTTTTTTTTTTAAAGTAAGAATGAAGGCATTTCATTGCAGAGAAGAGGAAACCTTTGCTGCCACTAAAGCATCTAGATTGTTTCTGAACTGGACTATTGTACCACTAGAAGTCTAAAGGAGGTATGGTAGCAATGCTGTCAAATACCGCAACCTAAGTGCCTGTTTTTCTGTTTGGACAAATTTAACTATCTTGAAAAATAATCCTAAAAATGGAATAGGAGCAACTCCTGGCAGCAAATAGAATACCAGAAGTGTTTTTTATATACACACAATTATAACCAAAAACATGTGATGTCATAACAAATCCTTCTTTACTGGATATTCATAAACAGAAGACTAAATTCCCAGCCTTTTTAGATT